ACTGGCAACCATTAATTGCACTTATGAAAAATCGATGTTGCTTGCGGATTCAACTGATGCGGTCTTCGTCAAAGAGTCGACTCAAATTAATTGGAAGGAAACATGGGGAGAGAGACGCGCCGCAGCGTCGACCAAATACAAATTGAACCCACGCAAAAAACCGATTTGAATGAGCTCAATTTCCGACTCTGTTTTTCGCTTTCGCTCACTCTCTTTACCAAATGGAAATTGAACATCAAAAGGAATTGAACGCAGTACCAGCAGCAGCAGCAAAACAAAGTGGAAAAATATAAAGAGTATGGACTCAAAATGATCGGTGACCATTAAATCATTCGCTGTGAACCGCAAAACATAAACTCGATTACTCTGGTTTATGTTCGTCTCTTTTGCACATTCGACTTCACTGAACCATTGAAAATGCAGTCTTGTCACAATGTCACCAATTGACAGTCTCAGAGCGAAGCACAAGTGTATGTGGCAACATATGGTTGGCGTTAGGATTAAATCCACTCAGTTGACACATTCAAATTTTGCTTATGAGTCATTTTGAACAGTTTTGTTTTCCTTGTTTTTCCTTCGGTGTCAACGTCTGTTTCGTTTTGACGCTTGAAAAAATCGACAAGCAAATGCTATTTTTCCATTTGCAGAAGAAATGCACCGAATCATTGCAATGAAATATTGATTGTGTGTATGTGTCACATTTCATAGAGTACTGCATTCCATGCAGTACATTCCGAAATTATGCATTTCCTTTGGTTGCAGCGTAGTTTTTTTTTCTGTTCCTTTTGCGACCAAATGCAAGTTGTAATTATTTTGGCGAGAGATGATTAAAATCCACAAATGCATACACGAACTAATGTATGTGTGTTGAGCTGCTGTGCCGGGCGTTGACTGTATGTTGCCATTTTTATGCACGAATAAGTACTTACCGGAAGGGTCATTAAAACAGTCGAAAGCTGTTATTTTGTTGTTTAAAATGGAAAAAAAATGAGAAACACTCATTTTTTCTCTTCTTGAAATCCGTTTTTTATTTTCTTTTTTTTTCTTTGGCTAAATTATCACCCAGAGAGTGAGTACTATAGAGAGTAACAGAGAAATATGATTTACTTTGCGGTATATAATCATTTCTGTTTATTTGGTTTTTCTTCGTATGCATCATGAAAGCTTAAACTTATCAACAACAACAATAATAACAACCACAGCAACGACGACGACGTGGCGAAGAAAAACGAGCAGGTGCACTGAGGTTGAGGTTCCATTTGTCGGGCGACGATTTCATGGCTTCTCTGTGTGTATATATTTGCGATGAGCAAATCATTAGTGAGATTATTAATGATGGCATGGAATTAAAAGTATCTGCATCTATTTGTTGGATGTGTTTTCCCGAGGATTACAGGCATGAAGAAAGGGCGAAAGCAATACTCGGAGTCGAAACAGATATCAATGCGACTCAAAATCTACGAACTGACGAGCCCTCGACAAGTACAACGATCCAAACGAGAGAAGAAAAAAAACGATCGACGTGAGAATTATACGCGGTATACAAACCATGCTTAAAAATTCAACAACGAAATGCGCAGAAAAAAAGATGACAAAAAAAACTTAATGCCACGTTCATTTGGTCCATGCCGTGTGTTTTTATTTGCCATATATCCAATTTGCTATTTGCTCAGTTTTCCTTTCATTTTCGTCGTACTCGTAAATCTATCCTTTGTTTACAGCGAAAACCGTTGATATGGCTGAGCTTCTTTCGGTATGCTATTGCGTTTTTTATGCCGATACTTTTACCATTCCACTCACATTTTTTCTCTCTCTCTCATTTCGCTCTTTCTCTCCCTCTCCCTCTCTTTCTCGTGTTATTTGCTTTTATAGCACATACTTTATATTATTTTATGCGATGCATAAATGTTTATTTTTTCCATTCTCTCTCTCTCTCTCTCTGTGTGTGTGTGTGCCAACTCAACAGCGAAAAAAAACCGTATTAAATTGTTTCATTTTTGCAAGCCGTGTTGAAAATAATAAAAAAAGCGAATACAAAATACGGTAAGCACACCTTGCTGATTGTGCAAATGTTGACAAGCATTTTTATCAAGTACATTTGTTTTCCAGCGACAGCCAAGCCGATATATATATATTTCATCCAGAGACGACGAGGTAAAAGGTTGACAATTAGTAAGTGTTTTGTGCATGCACATTTGTTGCTTTCTCCGGAATCAGGTGCTTTGTTGTGCTGTTCAATCGAATTTGACACATTTTACAATCCAAGGAAGACCAAGAAAAAAGCGATTTAGCAACTTCGGTGGAAAAATGTATTTGAAATGAACAAAAAATGGTTGCATGTTTTCCAATTGAAATTGTGGCTTACGATGCGATTCCAAGAAGTCAACTAGAAATGAACAAGTTTTTAGCCCCATATTGAAATTGTTCACCGGAACACGGCTGCCGTTTGCCCAACCAATTTCGTAAGGAAAAAATTCTGTTGATTTGTTGCCTAAAATTAGAAAACCTAACGATTTTATCACTATCGAGCTGTTTGCAGATTCAGACGTACGGTTTTCTTTTGCTTTGCGCATGTTTAAATTATGCAAAAAAAGGTTAACGCTTCAAACCATAATCAGTATTTCCTATATCTATATTGTTGCAAGAATGTTGAAATATTTATGGGTAATGTTACATTTATTTAGGAAATTCATTCATGTTCCTTGTTTGTTACCGCGGAAGGGGGATTCTTTGCGTAGCCCATCTCGTATCGAAGCATAAGTGTGCGTTTATTTGGTTCTTTGTTTCGCTTCGATGTGTTCATTCTTTCGGCGTAATTTTATTCGTTTGCTTCATATGCAGAAAAAAAGGAAGAAGAATGGAAGTTTGGAGTATAAGTGTTGGTAGATAGCAAATGAGGAGGGTGTGGAATGGCTGACAAACACTTGAAATAATGCATCAGCAGGGAGAAATGAATAGCGAAGCCGCTTTATCAAATTTCAAGTGTAAACGATTTATACATCGTTGCTTTTGCTTTTGCACTTGGCAGATAAAAGGGAAAGCCACTCCATTGCGAAAAGTGGCACACAAATCAATTCGAAGAATTTGTTCCTGTGAAATCTTCTTACCGAAAGAAAAAGAATAAAACGAATCCGGTCGCTACCAACAAATTTATGCCCATAAAATTCCATCACAATGAGAAAATATTCGAAAATGCGTTTTTTCAACTCTCTAATTTTTCCTTCTCCCACCCAAACAAGCAACAGCATCGCAACAGACATATATATCGGCTCGACATCTTGAGCTGCTATTGAAAATTATTATCGCATTATGTTTACACAACAGGAGGAGATTCTACGAAAATTATTGTTATTTATGGCATTTATTTGAGAAAATCGCATCAAATAATTTATAATGGCGATATTTTCCGCGCTTTTATTTAATGTGTTTATTAACTTGATGAATGTGCCGCAGCTAGCTCTTTTAGTGGTGCGTATGTGTTTGCGTGTGTCTCCATTTTTTCCGTGTTATTCTTCTTCCTTCACAGTCGCTCGCAGTGTTTGCATGTCGACGAACCTCATAAAAATGAATTATAGCACTTGTTTTAGCCTACACTCAATTTTCGAACAATTTCTGCCCATCTTACCTGCAACGTCTTATCATTTTCCCATACCTACAACTCGCAACTTCTAAGCCGATAACAGCGTAGTTTTTTCTCCTTCTTCTGCCGTTGTTTGATTTCGAGTGGGATTTGTTGTCAAGCGGTGTTCCAATTGTTCATGTGTGAAACCATTTCATCTGGATGGTTATCTTATTTCGGAGTGCAAAATAAACAACACTTAACAAAAAGAGCGAAAATAAGTTTGCATGAACAATCACAAGGTATGAAGGCGGTGAATGCACGAAGTGTATGATCAAATGTCACAACAACACACTTCAACAATCAACAAGGCGAAGGATCAAATTGAAAATATTCCATTCGAAGAATTTTCCATGAACCATGTTCGAACCAAATTACAAAAAAAATGCAATTTGAACAGTTTTCAGTGTCCATTTTCTCATTTGAAATAGCCGCTAGGCTCTAACGCACCAAAGCAATCAAATCGAAAATAAAGTCCACGCAAACAAAATTTCAGACTAAATCATCTTCTGCTCTCGATATTGGTCACTCGGCGTTTTCTCTCCACGAAATGTAAACAATCTCTTCAGTCGATTATCTGCTCTTAAAATATTCTATTTCCATTTCAATCATATAAACCATCACGCAATTTTAACCGCATGGTAACCATTGCGGTTACGCTGCTGTTTTTTTACACCAAATAAATACTTTTCGCATCTCGCTCTCTCTCTCTCTCTCTCTCTCTCTCTCTCTCTTTCTCTTTTTCATCCATTGGCAGAGTTTGCTCAAGGCATTATTATCGCATTACATGTACATCATGCAATAGTCTTCACAATCATTGACGAAAATTTTTGCAAGCAAATAAAAAATTCAAAATCACCAGAAACGAGTCGAAATGTGCTGCTATTTTAAAATAATAAACAAGACTCTGACAACTTTGTTATTTATTCGGCCGAATAAATAATTCAAATACTTACCGGCAAAAATGTATTCGCAATTGCTATTTTCCAATTGAAATCCACTTATTATCGCTTAGCTGTGCTCTAGCATTTGAATGGAATGAGTGCAACAACAAATATAAGACACACACTATACGTGTATGTGACAGCCCTGCAACTGTTATACGGGTATTCGTTGTTATTGAATGCATGCAATACGAAATGCGAATAAAAACGTTTCAAAAAAAAGAACCTAAATCGAAAAAATAAAACGAAGGATTTTATTCATTTTGAAATTCATTTTCATTCATTCTTATTTTAAAAAGATTTCGTTGATATTTTGAACAAGTTCAAAGTCATGTTTTGTTTATTTCACAACGGAGCGAAATCGTTCATCCAATGAACGAAACAAGTTTGACGTTTAACAGTTGGTAGCGCTGTACGTACATCGGCCCGTTTGACACTTTGCTGACACAAATATAAAAGAAAAAGAAGAAATTAGTGTTTGTTGTGCTGTCGAACGTCTTCGGAAGAAAATTAATAGTTTTATGGTGAAATTAAATCAAAACAACTGAAAAAAAATGCCTGAAAAATCGAAATCGTCTGACCGTGATGATAGTGTTGAGTTGGAAACACAAGTGGTATTACGAATGCCAGTGGAACCAGCGCAAGTATTGCGAGAGTGTTTACGCGAAGGTGGACCGAATTTAAAGGATCGTTTGTCCGTAAAATTGGAACATGATTTGCGATACGGTGAAGTGCGTTTCGATCATTGGTTAATGTTTACGAAGCTGGTGGATTTGCCGACGATAACGGAGTCATTGAAAACGATTGACAACAAGAATTTCTACAAATCGGCCGACGTATGTCAAATGCTGATGTGCAAATATGAGCCCGATGCACCGACCACCGACGATGAATCGCCAGCAAAAAATAAGAAAAAAGACCCGACCAAAGTGGATAAAAAATATTTGTGGCCGCATGGAATAACGCCACCGTGTAAAAATGTACGCAAACGTCGTTTTCGTAAAACATTGAAGAAGAAATGTGTTGAAGCGCCCGAAATTGAAAAGGAAGTGAAGCGTTTGTTGCGCGCCGACAACGAAGCGGTTCAAGTGAAGTGGGATATTGTACTCGAAGAGGAAGATCCAAATAAGCCAATGTTGATAGGCAATGACGAAAGTACATCACAGTCGGCGATCGCAATGGATATGGCGGGAACATCGGGGCAAGATAAAAAATCGAAACCAGACACCGAAAAAACCATTGAAGACAGTTCGGATATTATTCCGCGTGACATTGATATTTTTGGTGAAGATTTATCGTCATCTGACGATGAAGACAATAATATTAATGTGGATGTCGATGAAACGAGTCGCTTGTCAGCCGACGACAGTCGATCAAACTTTTTCAGTTCGATGCAAGGCACCGGTTCAATGGCCACCGAGTTCAGTAAGCAAATGTTCAACCGAAGTCCGTCTCGTTTACGGCAAACCAGCGATAGCATGGAGCCACCACACACACCGCCCGCTTCAACCAGTCGCCAATTCTTTGATAGCGAACGACTCGATGTGGACGATAATGATTTCTCCATGCCACAAATGACACAGGATGAAATTCAAGGCAAAATCGCCGATTTGCGACGTCAATTGAACGATTTGCGTGATCAGCGCATTGCAAAGGAACAGGAAATTTCATCGATTGAAAATGAAACGTTGCGACAACGAATGCAAGATGCACTGGATAACATTCTCAGCCAAATTCTTGACAAAGAAATGGAAATGCAAGACTATCAATCGATGCTGTTGTAATTTTATACTCCAAAAAACGGAACGAAAAAAAAAACCAATTCAATAAAAATCAATATTTATATATATCACCATCAAAAGCGATTATTTTCTTTTTAAATTTCTTCTAGGCGAACAAAAGAACGACTTGAGAGTTATGTGTGTTTTCTTTCTTTTTTTTCTGCAGAATGAGAGAGTGCCAATGGGTAAGAGTCTTTTATTTGCTCGGTTTACCACACAGTGCAAATGCAATTATGCTGTTAATGGTGTCGAAATCGTTCGACACTGCCAAATTCAATTTATTTTCCATTTGGTTGGCCTGAAAATTTTCTCCGTCCGAAATCTCTATTGAGCAATTATGTCAATTTTTCTTTTCGCTTTGTGCCAAGTTTTCGTGTATGCGGTCGGTTGTTCTTTTTTTTTTCCACTCATTCTCACTCACACCCAGCGGTGGATATTGTTTACAGTTCGGTTTTGCTGGAATGTCGATCGTTAGCATGAGAAATTGATTTTTAAAAAAAACGGGTTTCTGTGTGTTACATCATACGCAAATGTTAGATTGCGAGCGTTGCACATTTTGGAGCAAGAGAAGCAGAGAAACCGAGTAAGAGAGAGAAAAAGGGATAGAGAATGAGTGTGAGATAGAGAGAGAGAGAGTAAGGGAATTGTCGACGAAAATTCGGTCACAATAACGAAAGTGATAAAAACGGGTAAGCAGGCATCATTGTGTACGTGTATGAGTGTGTCGCATTTAAGAGTTTGGGTAAATACCGTATATCGCAGCACTTACTCGTGACTCTCTCTCTCTCTCTCTCTCTCTCTCTCTCTCTCTCTCGGTGTGTGTGTGTACTCGTTCGCCAGCTTTCGCCCGATGGATGGTGTGTAATTTATGGGTTGCAATATCAACATGAAAAATGCACCATAAAACGGTCGCTTCATGTATGCAGAGACGCATGCATTGGTTTCGGTGTGTATCATCATTGTCGTATGTGTGTTTGTGTGTGGCACACAAAACGCCAATGCCATTGCATGATAATATAGTTTTCTTGGCATGAAAAGTGTGATGCCTTTTCCTGCAAGCTGCAACCATATATCATTCTTCGTTCCGAAAACCCGTTCCGTTTGCGACTTTGCCCACAACATTCTCAAGCGCATCAACGGGGACTAGTTAAACTTTTGCCATTCACCGCAAGTGAAGTGAGCGAGAGAGTGTGAGACAGTGAGAAAGAGCTAGTGAGCATCACGGCTAAAATGCAGCACCGAATATTCGCTTGTTGGTGCTATTCAGTTGGCAGAACCATGAACACAAGCCATATTACAGGGCAGAGTGGTTAATGCTTCATCATGCGATTCCACGCTGCAATTGTTGCTAACCAGAATCATGGCGGAACGAATCGAGTATAAAATTACTCTCGGTGAACTTGTTGCGTTCTGATGTTTTTGGATTTGAACATTCCCTTTCATCCGTGTTGGATGAGTGTCTGTGTGCACACAAATACACGCACCGCAAAAGTTTTCTTTTCACAAATCTATGGGTGAGATTGAGAGTAGTGTATGTTTGATTGACTTTGTTACGAAAAAGAAGAGCAAGTTTCTGTCGACTTAAAAATGGTTAAAAGCGAGTATGTTCGTTTTTAGCGGGTCCTCGCGGTTTTTCACGGTTTCCGCGGAACTGATAAGAGATAACAACTTGGTGTCTTCGGCAAAGTTGTAGCACTCGAGGTCTTCTATAAGAAGACAGTTATCACAGTTATCTGAAGACAGTAATCTCTTATCTCTTATCAGTTCCGCGAAAAGTGCGAAAAATGATAAGAAAAAAAAAGTTCTATATAAAATTTGCTTTTTTATGTGCGCGATTTGCGCGCAACTGATAAGAGATAAGAGATAACTGTCTTCAGCTTAGTTATAGAAGACCTCAAGTACTACAACTTTGCCGAAGACACCATGTTGTTATCTTTTATCAGTTGCGCGAAAACCATGAAGACCGCGGAGGCTAGACGGTACTACAACATACTCTACTTTAACGCCAACAGAATCATCAGAAAACATACTCGCCTTTTCAAAAATATGAATCGAAGAAAAAACATACTCCACTCTCAATCTCACCCATAGAAATATCCTAAACAATTTTCACTCGGTTGTCACCGCTTCTTCAGCGTTTCCTCGCCACCGCCGTCGTCGTCGTCCTTCCACCAAAGCGGAAAGATTTAGTGCGACATTTTGCAGTGATTTACCAGGATTTGTGCCAAGCAACATTATGATCATGCTTGTTGAGATTTATGAAATGGCTCGCACAACCTACTGAATCACATATTGCCATAAAGTGGTGGAATCTAGCGGAATGTGAAGGAAAAATAGTCCATTCATCCAATGAATGTGTGATTAGCTAATAAAAGGGGAAATTCGTATAACAATTTTAATATTACTTTTTAGTGAACGGAAAGAGAAATAAAAACTTTACCTCATTCAGTTGCAACAAAGTTGAGATGCGAAGAATTATTGGCATAGTATGATTCAACCGAACTTGTTTGATGGTATGCTGCGCATATTTTTGCTGATGCACAAAGTCTAAGTTTATCTACAGAGAGAAAATATTTTCCGTGAATTATTATTATTGAACAGATACACTCCGTGTTCGATACTATGTACGCTACATGCAATTCAGCGGACGATGTGCAAATACCTTTTGATTTGAAACTTGTAGCAAAATTCCAACCAGACGATGGAATGTTCTTAAATAGTGTATGATCTAGTTTGAGTGAAAATGTACAGCATATTTTGATGCAGTTCAATTTATTTTATTCGTTTCGTATGGGAGTACACACACGGAGAATAAAGCACATTTTGGCGATTATTATTACTTTTACGAGTCGGAAGTGTGATATGTCTCTCGAAAGTAACATCTTTTTCGCCAATTTCGCAATAAGTTAAATTAATTCGGAATAAAGAGTTGAACAACAAAAATGCGCATGTAGCTGCACATTTTAGATGGTACTCAATATTTATTTGTGTTGCCAAGCGATGTTCACATTGAAAATGTACTACACTGAGATTTTAATGTCACAAGGTTGGATTCCATGAAGAGTGTACTTTTTTTCGACTACATTTGCTTTATATCGTTCGAATGCATAGAATGACAAAAAAAAATCATTCGAGGGTTATACTCGTTGAAATTTAGCGAAATAAATCTCTTGCTGTTCATAATTCCACCATAAAAGAATTCCCGTTTGTCGGAACTTTTCAAATTCGCTCCAAGAGAATGTTCACATATGAAGCGTTTTATTCGCGTTCAATGTGTTCTCTCTCTCTCTGTGTGTCTGTTGTTTCTATGCGCCACAAAGCAAATATGTGATTGAAATTTTGCTTAATGGCTAAAAGTTTTTTTCCGGGTGTTGTCGAAATGGTCGGTCGTGATGCACACAAAAAACACACACAGTGATTCGGCTTTTAAGTTGGCTGCAGCGTGTGTCGTTTTGATAATAACTTTAAAGCGCATATAAAATATAAAATACAGAGAGAATTTAATTTTTACATCACATTCGCACAGTTTATCACTTTGTTATGGCGGGCGTTTTTATTTTAAATGCATATCAACGATAGAGCCAACTTGCTTCTTCCTTTCGAATGAGACGAAGTGAATTCATTGTGAAAATTTCAGTGGATTATTTTATTAAATGCATTAATGTGTTAATAAAAAAAACTTGTTCCATCTTACTTCCATGGAGGAAGAAGAAGGAAAGCCGAAAGTATGTCATAAGTACAATGGCTGCAGAGAAAAAGATAGAAAGAGAGTCTGTGTGAGAGAGATAGAAAGTGGAAAGTGCCAAAGAGAGGGACAAAAAAATTACATATTTTGCAAAAAGCTGCTGATGAGATTATTCTGCTGTGGATTTATTTCTTTCTACTTATATTTACTTTAATATCGTCGTGAGTTGTTCCACCAACAACTCTCATTTTGCTAAAGGATATCTTTTCCATGTCGATCGCTTCTGATTTGCGTGTGTGTGTGTGTGTGTGAACCATTCAATCTGCTGTGTCGTTGCCTGTACAAAAAAACTTCCACAAAGTGTACCAACATTTCTTGCTCGCCCGCTTTTTCCCATCGTCGTCCTTTTTGCGCACTTTTCTGCGGCTTCATCCGTTTTCTATTCTAACTTTGAATCGAAATTCGAATAATTCTTGATAATATTGTTGATGAATTTTTCAAACCAGATTTTAACAGAAAGATCTCTTTCGCACTCAAATCCATTGTGATAATAAGAAGAAAGTATTTTTCATCAAGTTTCAAGTTTTATTTTCGCTTTTAGTTGATGAAAAATTTCCTACTTCTGAAAATCTACACTTCTTTTCCTCCTTCCCATAGTTTGTTTGTGTGAAAACTTGCATTCGCAGTTTATAGAAATAGTTTTAGTACTTTAAATTGATGCAGAGTCGTTTTAATGCATCATCTCGGTTGTGGTGGTTGTGGAAAATAATGTACTTTTTTCGGTTACATAATTTTCGGTATAATGGATTTAACCATGATAACAATTTTAAATAGATTTTACACAATTCAAGTACTTGGATATTTAAATACGTTTTTTTTTTGCTTAAAAACAAAATGTCGATAAGTTGGGAGCCGATACCAAGGTATATGAAGTTTTCCTCGTACATTATTTTACAATGCTCAAATTCATCAAGCATCCAAAATAATATAAAGCAATCAACTTACTGAAACTTAACTCTTTGGCTTAACACTATTTAATGATGTGTTGCGAACATAATTACTTTACTTTGCATCAATTTGTTGTTTCACCACACAAAGTCGGATTACATCAAATATGTTGGATACATAGCGTTCCGTATTTCATTCTGGTTGGGAATTTTAATACATTAAGTTACATGCATCAAAATGCCCATTCCAATTATCATCTTTATCGTTGGTACAAAGATTTGTTGTGAAATTTTACACACAAAAGCTATAATTTCGTAAACATATTGAATATCAATCAAA